GAGGCATCAAATTACTCACACACCAGTTGGAACATTCAAGCATGCCACATCAGCCAAGAAAATCTAAATTTCAGTAGACTTAAAACTACAGCCAATGTCATCCCTACTAGCGTAAGTCCCTAGTTGGTGTCATATACCCCTTTACATTTAGATAAATAATCTCAAAACTAACTTTCAACATACACCTCAGTTTCCAGGAAATGTGATTCACCTGGAGTCCCACAGGCTTTGCTGCTGCAGCCAACTCCAGTATCAATTGACCCAAACGCACCAACTTACAGATGGCTTCTCAGCCCCCTGTACTTCTGTAAGCCTGGTTTCTATTTCAGAGAACTGAAGAGCAACAGAGGTGCACACATGTTCTGCTCTTCAGGCATGCAAGCTTCCTTACTACTATGAGCAGGAGCACGTTGGGGTCACATCTTTCTGCAAAATAGTTCACATGTACATGGGGTTTGGGAGCATACAGCAAAAAACAGCTTTTCATAAAGGCTACTGAAAAACAGACAATGGCTGGATTAATGTACAGAATGAATGGAAAGCAGGAATACATAACTGGCTAACTATAGAAATCCTGTATAACAATGCTTGCTGTTTGCTTTCTGATGTATTAATATACAATTGAAGAATGGAAGGCAACCAGGCTACAAAAATTTCCATCAGCTAAAATGCTCAGGTACACTTATTTTATTGTTTCTCAAGTAAGCTTACAGAAATAAAAACTAATGCACAGACATTTGGTACAAACTAATTTTTTAATCGTAGCATATAACTTTTTAAAAGTATTTAATTTACTGCCTCATAAGAAGTTACATTCCAATAATTATTGACACAGTTCTCAATTTTCTTTTGCAAGGATTTGTTTCTACATTGTATGGGACAGATACATCTTACTTGGCCTATTAATTCTGACTGTTTTCTGTGTTTTAGACAAATAGCATACACTTTAGGTCAACAAGTTAATTAGCTCACAATTTCAACATAACTTTCTCAATTAACATCCTGCACTTCAAAAAAATTTCTTGAAATTCAGTATTTCTACACAATTTCCTTTCCACTACATACTCCATGCAAGAAATAAACTAGCACCCACAAAACCAATACTTTCTTTCCTAAAGACGTAATTCCTGCTTTTACTGTATTTAGCTGCAGTATTAAAGCCTTCTCAGAACACTTAATTCAAGATGGCTCTGATCACACTGCAACTATTCTTTGGTTTGCTTTACATCAAATTCACCAAAGCAAAGAAACTAATGTACCCTTTGAAGAATGACCTTTTGTTTATCTACTTACTAAGTAGTCTCCTCTTTCACTACTTTTTTTCATAGTATTTTATCAGAGTTACATGAAAATGTTGTCTCTAAGGTATCACTCCATGCCTTGGCAGCACTGTTAATGGCATCTTTCAGATTCAATGACTTACAAACAATGTTGTTCTCTTCTGTCAACAACAATTAGCAATGCTTTTCTGTACTTCTTTTGGGAAGCCTGAAAAGCAGACAACCAGTAGATACATAATGGAAGTTGCATTAGGAGGCAAGAATGTGGCAAAAATTTGGTTAACTGTTGTCGGCTGACCCTCTTATGTGAAGAAGTGTTGTTTGGCAGCAAAATCACCTTTTCTTTCGGTTCTAAAAATGGCCATGAACAGCTGGTATAACTGTGTGCAGAACTGATTCTGGTGGGCTTAGCAGATTGGTAATGGGATAAGAGACCTTTCACCTTTAGGTCAGTAGTTCAAATTCAGCCCAGGTTAGCAGCAATTGAAAGTCTTTACTATCTGACACTGTTTGTTAGACTGTTTAAAATGACTGAAGCAAAGTGTTGTCACAGCACAACAAGACTGCAGTAAAGTGTTGTCACAGCACAACAAGACTGCAGTATTAAGATATATGAAGTCTCAGCAAACAACAGAAACAGTAGCTTGAGACTTTACTTTGAAATCCCACCGTTCTGACTTCACAGAAATCTACTCTTCTAACTCCTGGCAGCCCCTTTCTTTGCTCCCTCACTCCAGCCCACCTATGAGAAGTCATCCTTCAGGCAGCTACGCGCAGCCAGGACAGCAGGATCACCACTTGCCATCACATGGCTCTGCTGTATATACCGAAGTCACCACCTCTCTGTGGCTTTAGGTGGCAACCTGGACTCAGCTCATCACTTTGCTGTTTTTGTGTTTTGTTGTTACTGCTACATATAGTGCAGCTGCAATATTTTCCAGCACTAATAGCCAAACCATCTGCAACAGGATTTCTACCTGCTTTTACACATATTCCAACCACACTTTTTATATTTTCATGGGTGGACAAACACAAGAAAGAAAGACATGTTGCATGTAAGAATTCTTCCCATGTGTTACACTAGTCACAGCCAGTTTTGCACAAAGACAAAGCTCTGGAATATATAATTTTCCAAAGGTCAGTAAAATCTGAAGAAAACCCAGAAAGTGATAAACAAAAGTCTTAGCACTGGGTAATGCTTTATTGGTCGATGGAAGGTTATTTACCTTCCCTTTATGCCTTAAAATCAAGTTCCTTTAAAAGAACTTAAAAACATTTACATAAAATACTCTTGTGATAACTAAACTAAAAACATAGGTATGCCATTTGCTTTTAGCGAATCTCTCACAAACACATCAGATTATTCTACAAAATTAATTTTTATTTCCCAAAAAGTTGTAACAAAAATACTCAAACTGACACATAAAGAGAAAACCCACTGCTACTGAAATTAGCGCATTTCTCAACTCCAGTCTACACAAATTATCTTTTCAATTACATTAAGCAAATTCAGTCACATTTTGATGATGAAGGGAGCACTCACATATCATTTAAATCTCACAACTCATGAGGCAGAAGGTTGGGAACAGGCCTGACACACAAACATACCAATTGTATAGAGGGTAAATGCTCGATTCAGATCACTCATTGTACACTTCTCAGTGTTTCTCTAGCCAACATGGGATGCTTCTCATTTCAAGGTACTACAAACATGTAAAATGTGGGGTATTTTCCCTTTGCTGTCACTGATACACATGTATGAAGCTCAGTTACACCATACACATGTATTAACAAATATTTTTTAAGTACAAACCACAGACTTCCTTCATATAAAGTCCAAGAGAAACATCATCTCTTCTTCCAGTGAAGAAAAGAAGAAACTTTTCTGGTGAAAGCCAGTACTTCTGAAGTACCGTACAAGATTTTGACATAACTTGGAAGCTTTGTATTTATTGTAAAGCTCTCAATAAGTTGTTCTGGATCAGGACTGCCCTTGATTAGGCTGATGACAACTAGGTAACAGAAAACACACCACACTATGAGCAGCTATAAAGAATCAGATATTCAACATCTGGTCTGCCTCAATTTTAACTGTGGTAACTGCCTGAAAACCCCTGCAAAAGTGCCCTAAATGATACTGGACAGAAGTTCTCTGGTGGCTGCTAGGCCAGACATTTCTAGGGTCTCTTTTGGAAAGCAAGAACAACTAGTTTTACTATGCAATTATCCAATCCTCAATCTTATGTTCCATACTTAAGAGCTAGTCTCTGAAAGATGGCAGAAAAGCAGATACAACAAACAGAACATTGCCATCAGCAAATAATAAGCCATTCTAGCTAAATCATTTACAGACAGTAAAACATCTGTAACAAATTTGTGCAGCATACAAGAGACACAATGGATTTCCATCCATCACCAATTTCCTTTTGCTTTCCAATCTTGTACAGTATTGTAGTAACAAAACAAAAACTAAATAAAATATGAACTTCCTTCAAGGTGCCATTTAGACTTCTTTTGCGTAGCTATACAACAGAAAAGATATATTCCCAAAGAGTCCCCCAAAAAAACAGTGAAGTAACAATACAACTCTGATTACTGCAAAATTTACCAGAAAGATTGAAAGGCATTAAAGAGATACATCCAAGAGGAAGAGAGAGGAGAAATCAACAGTCAGTGCAAAATAATGAACACAGTTTAGTTAGCAAGTGTATTCTGAAGTCTATATCTAAAATAAAAATGCTACAGTGATCTGATCAGAGACTGCTGAAATATTAAAACAGACAGAAAATTGCATAATTCCGTAGACATGTTCTGATGATGCTGACATGTAGCTGTGTCTAATGCACTCTGACAAATAAGTATAAGCCTTAAGAGGCTCATTTACAGATCAGACACCCATCATTTTGGAAAGTTCTTCCAGCTGTGGAGTGTTCAGCAAGAACAAGGCAAGTGAATCTGTTAGACACTGATCACAGTTAGGAGACGCAAAAGGGAAAAAAAAACTGAAGCAATACAGGGACATCTGGAGACTATCCTGTCCTGAAGTTAAAGGTGGACAAGCTTCAGGAGTCTCTAGGTTTGGCTCTTAATAGTAGGGAGCAAGTGCAATACATTAGTTGCATAATTGATAGCTGAACAGAAAGTGAGACTTGGGAGAAATGAGAGATCAATTGGTTAAGACTGGGGGAAGATCAGAGCAAATTACTACTTCAGACTCAAGCTGAAATGTTAGAGACAATACACAGTCAGGATATAGGAAGTAGAGAATATCTAAACAACTAATATAATTTGAGTAAATTTCTTTACAAGTTGGAAAGAATAAGTTTTCTATTACAGGGGACTGTCAAACTGCTTAGGCTGTATTTCAAGAGTCTTAAGTCCTTAAACACAGAATTGTGAATGCTTTCTTCCTGATTATGTGGAGACCTTAGACATTTGGGACAACAAACACATACCAGTGGGTATTACAGGGGTAAGACACTGCAAAACAGCAAAGATAACGTCTTGAAAACAACCCAGAAAAAGAAGTCCAAGGATATTCCACCACCAATTCAATTTGGGAACTCATGGTCAATATTACTGCAGGAAGAAAATGGCTTTGAAGAAAACCATAAATTAATTTTCTTCTATGTAAACAAGAACATGGAGTCACTGAAGAAACATTGGCTCAAAAACTACAAGATGGGGGAAAGTATAAAGAATGTGACCCAACTGAGAGAATTATTCATAACATTTTAATGAACTATACATTCCTGTTAACCACCACTCCCTCTAACTGATTCTAGACTAATTCAAGGTAGACCTGGTAGTGCCTAACAAAGGCATGTGAAGTGACTGTCATGGCTAATTCCACTGCTGTCCTGCAAGGCAAGAAAAAATTTATCAGCAGTCTTCCCCTGGCACAGAAGATCGTAACACCCTCCCCTCCAAATTCTCTTTTACTTCTTTACACCTAAATCATAAGTTTACTCAGTTATTACATAAGGTTATTTTTATTACAAAGATGTCAGATTATGAAGATGTCTTTATGTTCTATCATTGCCCACGTGTACAAGCAGCACACAGGACACAACCCTAATGAAATGTAGCTAAAACAGAACGGGAAGTTTATCAAACTGGTGCTTGATTCCACATTTCAGTCTTTCTGGTGTTATTTAACAAAGTGAGAAAAGGAGGATACAGGCAACAGAATGGACTTGCTTACAGGTTGAACATTCTTCTGGTCTTCAAGAATGATATCCAGACCTCAAGTTACTTGTTTCCTTAGCTTATGACCAGAAATCCATCGAACAGACACAAAAGTGGTAGAGGTGGTTTTACATAAAACACCATTCATCTGTTCACTTGCAGTGCACATTAGAACAGCTTCTACTGACTACATGAATCATCACAAAAATCCTACATCGTGTCAGCACGCTTCTTACACAGTTGCATTTGAGTCACAATTTCAATTATATGCAGATTGCTAGTGTTTTATTGTTCATATACACATACTGCTTCAATCACCTTCATAGAGAAACTCATCATCAAAGTATGAAAAATAAGAAAGAAATTTCAGGGACTGGTAGGCTCCAAGAAAGCCTCAGAGCACAGTGGCTAGCCACTTACTGTGAACTCACAGAGGCACTTAGCAGTGACCTCTTGCAAGGTCTTTAGGTCACGTGTAACAAAGAGCAAAATCTCTGAACATTTACTTTACATTACATTACTGAGTGCTGCACAAGGGCTCACTGCTGCAAAGTCTTGCATAGGCAGGCTTATGTGAGTACATCTTTTATCTTCAGTAGGAAGTGCTCACATGCATCAAGACACTTATGTTTAAATCTTTGCAGGAGCAGACCCTCAAATATGGGAGAAGGTTATGGTGTGTTTATTTAAATAACACTTTTCTGAACCTGAAGAGTTGTTTTTCTTACCTGAAGCCTAGTATTCATTTCCAAAAAGTAGAAATTCTTACTGGAGTCCACAAGGAATTCTACTGTTCCAGCAGAGGAATACTTTACTGCTTTGGCAAGAGCTACTGCTTGTTCTCCCATTGCTCTTCGAGTTTCAGGGTCTAGAAAAGTGCTACAACATAGAAACAATGACTTTTTTAGTTAAAAAATAATAATTATTCTATCATTTACTCTTCTGTTTAAACTATGGTCAAAAGAGGACGGCATCATTATTAAAGTTATGAAAATATGTCAAGACTGTCAAATGTGTGTCTTTACATTTATATTGCCCCTAAGTAGATATATTGCATGCTTTACAATTACTGCTATGTACAGAAAATCACTATATTCTCTAAAATATAAAATAACAGAACACAATACCCTTACAACAGCGAGGTCTAAAATAATGCAAATTAAATGAAAAAAAGACAGAAACCGATGCAATCTTAGAAGACATATTTATTATCCACGTTAACTGCAATACATTCTTTTCCATAAATCTTGGACACACTCAGGGGCACCCAAAGAGTAGCTCAGCTGCCACCTTGGGAGCCACTGTGAACACTGCCCAAATGCCAAGGTCCCTCATTCTAGGAGAGCATACCACAACTTCCACTGGGCCAAGTGAATCAAAAGACTCCGGAAGTCTTTCTGGAAGTAATACATTTTGCTTGTTACTCTCATCTGTACCATAAATTCAGATTTAGATTAATCTATGCAAATTAATGAGACAGATTCAGATATATAGATAGATATATTTCTGTGGTATTCCACCAAGGCCTTGAAACCAGTTGCCCCTCAACCTGATACATTGATTTTTTTCAATGAAAGAACATGTAGCTATACATCTTATATAAGCTTGCAAATATACTTAGTATTTATATTTCTGTTTTGACTTGGGCACATAACTCAGCTATCATTTTAAAAGTACTTTTGCAAGGCAATAGACAGTCAATTCTATCTTACCTCTAAGTTACTCTTTAAAATTAAAACAACAAGTCCTACATATTTCTCAAGATGGTTTCAACAGTGGGCTCTAATTCTGCAAAGGAGCAATCAAGATCCCTCACCTATCTACAGTGGTCTCAAAGCCAGTGAAGCTCCATCTGGAGCCCCAGACTGCACTCAGACTGAAGCCAGTGGTGGGTCAAGACTTATCCTTCAGCACTTACTGTGGTGTTTTTTACTGAGACCTGAACTCACAGAAGAGCTAGAGACCTCTGCCACAACAAATCATATTTGACATGACACAAGAAGTGAGCAAATATCTAGGCAAAGAAAGAGACACTGGAATCCTTTTCTTTACTGGAAAAGTGGTACTTCACACCTCCGTCCTTCTGGTGCCCACACAGGCAGATTCTGATGGACTGCAAGGCAGGCATTTTCAGAATTCAGGAAAATAATTTCTTTCTTGGCAACAATGAGATCAACAGGAAAAGAAGTCAAGTCTCATTCAAGAAAGCTGTATGAGATCCTACATCAGATGAATGGGAAGATCAGAAGATATAAAAACTGTGTCATACCTATAAGAATAGGAGCTGGTAAATGTAAAATAGTTACATAATATTCCTTATTTTGATTTGGTAAGAGGATAAATACACTACATGAAATCAACATTCTGTAACTCATTGTGGAGTTTCTGTAGCGCTTTGATCATGAAAGATCAATGAATGGCTTATGAAGCACAAAACATTCTCAGTATCAGCTTCATACTCTATTTCTAGAATAACCATTATTACTTCTCATATAGATGAAAGACAGTTACTTCCCTTCATTACAGTGGTGTCTTCCCTATACCTGTTCAATGTAAGTCTGAGATCTCACTGTTCACCTCCTGCTGTAGCCAGAGAACGGAACACAGGTGTCACATCGCTAAACTTGATCTCCGCCTCACAGTTAAGCTTTACACTCTGAAACAACTAGATCATCCCTACCATTGGCTAGGTTAATTAACCAAAGTTTTTATATTCTTGTCTACTGCTTTACCTTTCAAATACATTGTTTCTCCCTTTTTTAACTATGCACCTTTTATAACCAAGACAACTCTTGCATCACTTGAAAAGACAGCATTTTAAACCTGACTTCAAATCTTTTTCTCACACAAACACCTGTTTTTCTTTAAACCAAACAGCGGCTATGGCAGCACAAATGCTATCATAAAAATAAAAAAGTATTCACAAAATAGAAGCATCAAAAAGAAAAAAGAACTCAGACCTGATACCTCATCCATAAGACCTTCATCAAGTTTATTGAAAGTTAATCAAAGGGAAATACAATCAATTTGTTACTTTGTTTCTACAGCCAGGGAGATGAACTACATGGACAAGATGTTACCTCTCCACTTTCAGTTCATCAGATAAGTTTTCCCAAAATACCTCTATCACCTTCACTCAGAGACAAAGTTGAGATTTTGAAAAACACAGTTACACCATCAGTGGAAATTTACTGCTCAGTTTGGACAAAAATGATCAATAACATTTATCCTTCCTCTGAAGATTCCACCACACTGGGGGAGTGAACCTCAATTTTCTAAATTCAAAGTCAGCTTCCCTGCTCCATCCAAGCACATTGCTTGTTTAAAAAACTTACTTACCTACACTAAACATTATCCTTTGAGATATTCATTATGTACTACCAGACCATGGGCATAAATAGGCTAAAGAATTTGAGTACACAGCTCTGCCCCCACATCTGAATAGTGCCCACGTATGAATCACATGCAGAGTCACAACACAACAGGCTCACGTTTAACACAAAACCCTTCAAGGATTTCTAGACAGTGAGAAGAAATGTAGAGTCTGACACACATATATGCATAACAACTCTAAGAACCTGTAGAGTCTAATTCAATAATGCACCTTTCTGCTAAGTTCCTGCTTACATATATTCATTCAAATTGTCAGTGCCTCTGAACAGATGACCATTCCTTCACACAAGAGGTGAGGCAGATTTGAAGTGCTTTAAGAAGCTTCTTACAGGTTTTTACAGCTTTCCAACATGTTCAGAAATTGTTAGATAGGACACGTGTGCTCACCAAAGTAAAGTTTTAGAGCACTCCTCTGAGTTACTACTCCAATTATTGAATAAGATGTCAGTTAATACTCTTCTGCGTTCAATCTTGATTAATTCTAAAGGATCCATGGATTTTCTGATAAACTTACAGGACTTGTTTCTCCACATGGGAAACAATTTCTTATTAACCACTGCAATGACCGGAAAACATAACCACACTTTTGGAAATATTCTTACTGAAGTACAGTATCTCATGGCAACTGTGTGAAAATGAACAAAGAGCTTGGGCAGTTGAAGAACAAAAATTCAACTAAGGAACAACACTAAGACTATTAAGTGCCACTCATTTCTTTAAATGTCAGCCTCTGTGAAATGAAAAGACAACAGCGTATCCAAAAATGTGTGAAAGTAGAAGCAGATAAAATTATGGTACATTGCTGGAAGCTTTGTGCATCACTAACTTTGCTGAGCACAAACTAAAAAACTAGTGATGACTGGATGTGTCTTATTGTCTGTACTTTCCAAAAGACATTAACTCACCACATGAAAAGGGTATGAGTAAAGTTTTTGGTCTCCTATTTGAATCTGGGGGACTGACAATCGTGAACACCAGGGGTCCCTTGAATATTGTAACCTCATTAGTATGTGAACTGAAGGGATTTCTCTCAGCAAACAGCATTTTTTGTTTGTTGTTTGTTTTTGACAAAAGACAAAACTTCCCTCGTAAAACTGGAGACACAAACACAAAACGATTCTTAAGGGTAAGTTCAGCAGCTGCAGTCTTAGCTTGAAGAAACTTATAGGTAACTCTCCAAGCCAAAAAGCCCTCAGCCTCTTAAATTAGACACTTAGGAAAATGCCATCATAATGGAGTAAATCAAAAAAGGCATGAGAAGAAGCCAATGTCAAAAGCCCTTAATTGTTTGGGGAAAAAATAAAAGTTTTGGCCCATAATATGCCTACCTCCCTGGTTTCATGAAAGAAAATAAAAAGGTTGGACCTATCTCAGAGTTCTTAATAGTAGCTACCATTTACAACAGGAGAAAAGAGGACAGCCTACTTCCTACATCCAGCTATACCAGAAGAGCTATGTCTAGGATTCCTTAAGCAGTGGAACTGAAACAACATTCACAGGAAGGGTTAACTTGAGGCTTTAGGGTCTCTCTTGTGTCTCAGAGAAGTTAGTGTCCTGCTTATCTGCAAGTCTTGAGACCCTTTGAAAATTAATGGATTCTGCAACCAAGCGCAAGTGGCTGTAAGGCAGGTAACACTTCCAAAGCTGCCAACAGAAGTCTGGCAGAATCTAAAACATTCAACAACAAAAAGGAAGTTTTTCATGTTAAATTTTGGAACTACTCACTTGCCAACACTCTCGTACGGATATAGGAGGGGATGAGAAAACTTAATGGCT